GGACGCTCGATTGGCCGTGGCCATCTCCTGTCCTGTGCAAACTGACTGACTGGCTGACTGTCCTGTCCTGACCTGACTGGACTGAACACTTGGCCTTGGTTACGTGTAGGGCGCGTTGCCCGACTTGTTGCGTTACCTGATGGCTGGCCCCAAGCCAAGTAAATTTGCTGAGTCTCGCGTCGCATCAGTTAAGGCGCAGAAGGATGTGCCGTCGGTCGGAAATATTGTAGCGGAATTCTGGAAGTCTTACAAATCAACCACGCCGAGGAGAATACAACTTTTAGACGCGTATTTAGCATACATTCTGTTTACGGGACTCATCCAGTTTGTTTATTGCTGTATTGTTGGCACGTTTCCATTCAACGCGTTTCTCTCCGGGTTTATTTCTTGTGTAGCTTCGTTTGTTCTCGGAGTTTGCCTTAGAATGCACTCGAATCCCCAAAACAAACAACTTTTTACTCCTTTTTGTCCCGAGAGTGCTTTTGGTGATTTTATTATTGCTCATGTGATACTTCACCTGGTCGTTTTCAATTTTCTGGGATAAATTAATTTTTAACAACGCGTTTTAATTTTGCTCTTTTCAGTGGGTGTCAGGTCTCCGGCTGTTGTTGAAGTCTCCATACATTTGTAATATGGATTCGTTTCATGCTAGCAAATTGCTCTTTACCCGTGAACCCAGTGCTCCCAGATCAAAAATTCGACAAACCATTTGTCGCACTTTGAACTTGGTTGAAAGTTCGGCCTTCATTTTAAGAGTTGAGGGCCGATTGCAAGGTATCGGTGTAAGACCCATCACCACTGGGTCAGAGTGCCAATTATATATGATCGTCCCTCAACAATCATTTAAGGTACTCATGCGGCTACTGTTTGGTATCAGCGTCGATCATGTCGACCACACTCACTGAAATCGATATTCTAGAGCGTTTTTTTTTNTTTTTTTTTCAATTTCATATTTCAGAACGTGAGGAGGCCTTCGCCTGTGAAGTGTCCTGGTATTGGCGTGTTCTGCCCTGGGACTGACTCGCCTGCTAGTTGGTATTGTTACCGGTTTGACCGTTACGGAGTTGCCTGGAATTAGGGAAAAGAAAAAGAGATGGGGCAGCCTCTGTTGCTTGGGGGTCAGGGTGAGCTAACGTTAGCATAAGTCCGAAAAAAGGAGCTTCACGTTAGTTCTAATTCACGCCCAAAGGTCTGTACCGATTGATGTGACACTACTGTTGCCGGACACCGATTGCAGGCTGGGATTACTCTATCTGAGAAGTAGTGCCTGATTTGCAGTCGGCTTCTTGACCGCTCCAAAGTGTGTGGATGCCCACGTAGACCTCTATCTTACCTCAGGCAGAACATGTGACCCATTGGAGGACTGTTGAGGTTCCTAAATATTTTGAACATATCATTCAGATCTCCTCGTCTGCGCCTTTCGAGGGAGAAGATGTTTAGTGCTAAGAGCCTTTCTCTGTTGCTCAGCTGCTTCATTCCCCATACCATTCTGGTAGCGAGCCTTTGGACTTGCTCCAGTCTCCGGATATCCTTTCGGAGAAATGGCACCCCCGCTTGAACACAGTATTAAAGGTGCGGCCGGACGAAGGCTGCATATAATGGGATGAAGACCTCGGCACTTCTGTTCGTTGTGGCGGTTTTAAGGCAAAATAAAGCTCTACGGGCCTTTACGGCTGCTGCGTTGCATGCTGCAGATGGGATGAATTTGTGTGTAATTCTAACCCCTAGATCTGTCGTACTGCTCTTCGATGGTAAGTGTTCCGGAATCCCAAGAGGGTTAGTGACAAAGATTGAAGGACCTACGACGCCTGAAAGCATGTGACTGTTCAGCGCGTTGAACGGTAGATTCCATTTGGCTGACCATTCACATATTTTGTGGATGTCAGCTTGGATGGTGTCTAGTTGGCTACTGTTACTTACTAACTTAACGTCGTCAGCATAGAAGAAACATGGATTTTTAAGGCCTTCGGTGGTATCATTCACGAAAATGAGAGAGAAAAGGGGCGCTCCTATGCAACCTTGGGGCACTCCGTTGGTGGGGGAGCCAGAGACGAGTGAGTCTTTCGGACTTTGACGGTGAATGAACGACCGGAGGAGAGGTTTTCTATCCAGTCGCATATGGGCTTGGAGATTCCTGCTTTTCTAAGTTTGAAGCTCAATATTCGGTCGTTCACGGAGTCGAAGGCTTTTTGGAAATCTAAATAACATACTTCGACCTGGATGCCTGTGTCCAGTCTGTCCGTGATAACGTCCAGGAAAGTGAGGAGGCAGGATTTGCCCTTTAAGAATCTGTGCTGTGCGTTTTTGACCACAATAATCGGCAGTTTAACTGACTAAAGTTACCGCAACGTGAGTGTGCCTCTGTCCGTAGGAGGGAATGCTACCGCAACTCTTGACCCATATTACCTCCAAGATCTGCAGACAACCTGCGTATCTTTGCGAATCCACGTATTATATTAGTCAGTTAACAGGCATAATAACGCAGCTCTCTTTAAGCATACTGAATAATTATTCCTCCAGTAAATCTCATTTCTGAAAGTGTGCTCATAAAGCGATACACGGAATGGGGTATGCTTTCCGAATATGTAGTTTATTGGCATTTTCATTTCTGAAGCAGGCGGTATGTAGTAATTTAGTGAAGAGCGAGTTTACGAGCAAACTGGGGGTACAATGTGCAAATTGTGGTACGAACAGGGAGCAAAATGCTGTCCGAAGAACTTGACTCCGAGTGATCATCTGTTTAAGGCGGCACTCTGTTCCAAATGTTCCTGAGAAGAGGGGACGGTGATTTGTCACAGAATTTGAGACAGTCGCTTCCGCGTTCTTAACGTGCCAGTTGACGCTCGATATATGAAGCGTTCTTCGGATCCATGAGTTCAATATGAAGACTAATACGTGTTTGAGGTTGCTAACAGCTGCGCTTCTAGTGCATTTGTAATAGTCGCCGTATAGTTTATATTTATGTTACTTGGCCGGAGTCGTAGTGGTTTATTTCTTTATTACACACTTTCGTATGATGAACAGCAAACGGGGAAAGCCCCATAGTCAAGAGGACTCGGACTTGGAGTGGCGAACCACATAAGGCCCCATTCGGTTCGGCGTGGTACTGAATCAGACGACAGCGAAGCTGCCTATTACCTACCCCTTTGCTAAAGTCGTTTTATTCTCAGTGTTCACGGCAGAAGAGTTTACAATCCGAGAGACCTCTTCTAAGATGAAATAGTCACTCTGCTTCTAAAAGATCGTTGATTCTGATTTAACAAATATCACTTTCGACGCCTGCATATGCAGGAGACATGAAAATAAGCCATATCAGTAATAAAATAAATTTTTAGTTTTCAATGTTTCAGTGGAAATTCGAAAGAAGATCTGTTCTGGGTTATCATAAGGTGCTAGACATCGATGGTAAAATGAAGCTTTTTAGGGAACTGTCATTTCTGCACTCTAAGGTTGGCACAATAAGCCGGTTCCCTTCTCTCTTTAAGGCAGAATTTCTAGTGTTGACCCTATCTTAAATAAGGGATCGCCTAGTGACTGCGCTACACAAGGATTTAGGCATAATCTCAAAAGCGTCAAAGCTGTTTGCGTCTGTCATTCTTTGCACGTTGTACAATGTCGTGAACAAACCCGCAAGCAGTATGCTAGGTTTCGCACCGGTCCTGGATGCATCCATCAAATCTTCACATTGCACTATTTTCTAGAGCATCTTTATGCTTTCCTGGAGATTTTCATGGCCTCCAATTCGGTCAGTAGGACTGCATCGTGGCATGATTTGTTGAGGAATGAAGTAACTGAAGTTTCTGTGTCGACCTCCAAAGAGTTGTATCTTCATATTTCAAGTCAGGCCAGAGCTTATGACCAGCTTTCGCCATTCTCCGGTAGAGTACGATAAAACTGCCCTAGATCCACATTCCTTTCCAACTTCACCATAGAGGTTACTCTACAAAACGCCCTGCTTAATATAGAAAACGACGCAGTTGAAAACCCAGAGAAGAGTTGACCTAGAATATACCGACTGCCGCTTTCCTGGGTCATAATACAAACAAACCAACATTTTTTATTGCACTGCTTGGATTACAATAAAAAGGGGAAATCCCCATGGACAAATAGCATATCGTAAAAGGGAGAGGTGAGGAACATTCATGTAAGATCCAGTTTATTGATTCTGCGTTTAAAATGTATAAGATTGTAAGTTAGGGGGAAAACAGCAAGTGGGAGGATGTTCCACAATTTGGCAGTTCGGGGGAAAAAAGAACATCGGAGCAGAGGAACAGAAACCCGATGAGGATGACTAAATGCCTGTGTACGTGCTGGGCTGGTAAAAGTTGCGGGAAGAGGAACTGCCGAGGCAAGCTCCGAAGAACAAAAATCAAAGTATTAGCAGTAGAACAAGGACAATGAAGCAACTGCCCAACGATGGGTATGTCGAGCAGTGCGATAGGAGAGGGAGCAGTAGAGGGTGGCGTCATTAGCAAAAGAATGGGTCGGGTTGACAGTTTGGGAAAGGATAAATTTGATAAATAGAAGGAAGAGGGCGGGCGCAAGTACTTAACCTTAGGGAACACTAGCGTTCACAGGGAATGGCTTAGATAGAACCCGGTCAACTCGGTCCGAGATAGTTTGCTTACTGAGGAAACTTGATATCCACACTACGAGCGCCGGAGGGAACCCGAACATCGGTAGTTTCGCCAGTGAGCCTTCGTGCCAAACTCAATC